ACACACACACACACACCTGTATGTCTAAATTTTTAGCGAAAAATCCAACAGCTGTAGTCAAACAAGTATGGTTTAAACAAAGAACCTATAAACTTTTAAGACAAATGAATAGGAAAGAAAGATTCTATACTGTACGGGATGAGTCCTAGATGGTTCCCACTGCCTGAAAGCAATACCGAGAAAGGTACAAAACAACAAAATAGCTACACTTCAAGATGCACTGTCACTCCACAAAATCCACCCTGCACTTCCTATCTTCTGTGTCTTTGCTCAAGTTGTCAAGGCCACCTCAGAGGTCCTATTTGCACAGTCCAAAACTCACTACATCCACTGACAATTAATCTTGTGTCTTTCCCTATTCACTTCATACTAGTAATAGTACTGAGTCTGACTTCTAAATGTGGGCATGTCTACCTGACCTCTAAGAAAGTGAACCTGTTGAGAGGATAAACTGAGTCCTATACACTTTGAGGCCTGCTATACAATCACAGTAGACCTGCCTCAACTTTTAAGCAAAATTACAATCTCCTAGTGCAAATTAATTTAGTAAGTAGCAAATAAAGTCTAGGAAAAAAATTGCTTTGAGGTCCTGTGACTGATGGTGAGCAGCTGCCTTAAACAGTACGGTGAAAAGCATTTTGGCCAGGTATGGTGGCGCATGCCTGTGGTCCCAGCACTCAGGAAGCTATGGCAGGAGGATGGCCATCAGTTTGAGGCCAGCCTGGGGTACATAGTAAGTTCAAGGCCTGCCTAAACTATATAATGAGACCCTATCTCAAATAACCAAAAGAAGAAAATGATTTTAAGGTCCAATCTAGACTCAGCAATAGTGTCATGAATAGCAGCAATGTCTACCATGAGCAGAAAAAGGGGTAGGGGTAATATTTATGCCAGAAAACTGCCTTCTCTGTTTTTTAAAAATTCTGCCATCTCCATTTTTAATATTGATCTTAACCACAAAACATAGCCCCCATACCCACAAACATTTTCCAGATACCCATTAAAAAAAAAAACTTGGTAATAATATTACACAGAAGGGTCATTTTGCAAATTACTAAATGAAATACATTAAAGATTTGGTCCTCTAGTGTTAGATGAAAAGGTTAGAACAATTTCCTGCCTATCACAAGCACACTGTGAGAACATTGTATTCTTTTGCTTCTCTATGCCTCACTTTCCTGTCTAAAGTGAGGGTAACATACAATCAGCACCTCCAGCATTATCACTCAGAAGCACAAGACGAGCCTAAAAGACAGACATACTGTCACTATAAAGTATTTGAGGTTCTGCCACTTGGGGGAAAAGTACTAGAATATGAATGTACTATTTCCTATCAATAAACCAGGTGTAGTGGTGCATACCTGTAATCCCACTAGTCTGGGAGGCTGATGCAGCAGTATCACAGTTAAGATTAAGCCCAGCCTGGGCAACTGAGTGAGATGCTGTCTCAAAAAAAAAAGCTG